AGGACAGTGGGGGGGGGAAGGGAAGAGGGTGGGGTGAACTGGGGGGAATCTAAAAATCAAGTGAATAAAAACTCTGATGCAGAGAGTGAACTTGTGATTATAATAGAATCTGGGGCATAGAAAGGGAGTGGACTGACAATTCTCGGGGATGTGGGGGGTGTGGGAAGAGACTGGACAAAAATTGTACATCTATGGATGAGGACAGTGGGGGGGGTAAGGGAAGAGGGTGGGGTGGGAACTGGGTGGAGGAGAGCTATGGGGGGAAAAAGAGGAACAACTGTAATAATCTGAACAATAATGATTTATTTAAAAAATAATAATTTCAGTTGTCATCCTAAGAAATTAGCCAATGGGGAAATGAAGCCCAAACAAAAGGAAGACAATAATAAATAAAAGTCAATTGAAGAAAAAACAAAAATAGAGAAGAATTAATGAAACCAAAAACTGGGTCTTAAAGATCAAAAACATGGAAAATCTTTAGCTAGACTATGGAGACAAAAATAACCAAAATCAGAATCAACAGCGACACACCACTATTGACTTTACAGAAACTTAAAGGATTGAGGATATTATGAACAACTTTATGTTCACACTTAAGTAAAACACAATAATTATCAGAAAGACAAAAATTACTGAGTATAACAAGTTGAAAAAGGAAATGCTAAATAAACTGAATTAGTAATTATAAAATCTTCGCATAAAAAGAGCTTTTTTAGTAAATTCAACCAAATATTTAAAACTGTAAATAATATGATCCCTCACAAACTCTTACAGAAAACGAAGGAACCTTAGGAGGCTAATATTAAACTGACACCAAAGCCAGACAAACAACTATATGACAAGAAAACTATTGACAAATATCACTCATGGGTATCATAAAATCCTCAACAAACTATGACAAGCCAAATCCAGTAATACATAAAGAGGATTATATACCAAGATCAAGTGGAATTTGTTCCAGGATTGCAAGGTTGGCTTTACATTTGAATTCCAATTGATGTACTACATCATACATTAATACTGGAAAGGAAAAACACCATCTCAATAGACAAACAAAAGGCATCCATCACCCATTCATGACAGAAAACTTCAACAAACTAGGAAAAGAAAAAAGTTTCCTCAAACTGATCAAAGACATCAACCTAACATTACAGTTAACATCATAGTTAATGTTTAAGATCTGAATGCTTTCCTCCCAGAGACTGGGAACAAGGCAAGTATTCTATTCAATAATACACTGTTCTAGCCAATGAAATCAGGCAAGAAAAAGAAATAAGCAACAATGAGATTGAAAGTGAAGAAGTAAAATCGTCCTTTGATAGGCAACATGACACCAATTAAAAAGAAAATTTAAGAATCCTTGAAAAATTATTAGAATAAAAAAAATTTAAGTACATTTGCAGGATACAAGATTAATCAACAAAAATCAATTGTGTTTAATTACATTAGCAATGAAAAGTTTAAAAAATATGACCCTACTCACAATAGCAAAAACAATAAAATAGTAACAAATTTAACAAAATGACAAATTTTATACTCTGAAAACTAAATAAAACTGCTAAATTTCAAAAGCCACTTTCACACTGGTTTCTGTTTTTCTCTCTCTCCTCTCTCTCTCTCCCTCTCTCTCTTCTTTCCTCCCTCTCCTTTCCTTTCTAAAACTTAATAAAGAAAAAGATTATTTAACAACCAATGGGTAAAAAAGTGAAAAGAGAAAAATAACTCTTGCAATCCTAATATATAAAAACCCAGGGTCCATAAGGACTGAAAGCTCTACCAACCGGAAGTCAGTCCTGCAGTCAGTGCTGGGTTGCTGCTGCTGCTGTGGGCGTGGTGACCCAGCACTGACTGCCAAAGGGGCTGGGGATCAGGCCTGGAGAGAGGCCCAAAAAGACAGGCAGGGTCTGATGCGCAGTCTCCGTGGCAGCTGTTGATCAGCCGTTGTCTCTCTCTTTCTCTCTAGGCCTCCGCGGGCACTGATCAGCCCTGCCTCTCTGATGAGGCCCGGAAACGCTGAATGGCATAGAAACTGACCAATCAGAACCAAATCTGGGTGAAGTGCGAGGAGCCAATGGCTGCGTAGGAAGTGGAGCTTTTGACACTGCCTGGCATAGAAACCGACCAATCAGAACCTAATCTGGGTGAACTGCGAAGGCAGAACCTAAGGTGGGGGCTGACGAAGGGTTTTAGGGGCAACAGCTGTTTGGTGTAAGGCAGGGGTGGGCAAACTTTTTGACCTGAGGGCCACAATGGGTTCTTAAACTGGACTGGAGGGCCGGAACAAAAGCATGGATGGAGTGTCCGTGTGAACTAATATAAATTCAAAGTAAACATCATTACATAAAAGGGTACGGTCTCTTTTTTCAAGTTTTATTCATTTCAAACGGGCCGTAGTTTGCCCACGGCTGGTGTAAGGTATGAGAAA